CGAGCAGGAAAACAAGCAATATGGTTAACAATATTAATCATGACTGTTTCCAATAGAACTGCTTTGTTCTGTGCAGCGTTAAATGTCTGTCGAATGGCAGATGCGGAGTAGACAAATAACATAACAGTGGAAGAGGACGAACGATTATTATTAACACTTAAATGTCGTGGTCGAAAAGTTGGAGCCGAAGTCGATAAATTAGAATTTATAGGAGTCACCATCTGGCTCGGATTGCACAAAATAAAGATATCTCTGTGCAAGAGAGTGTGATGTCTCTAATTGCACTTTCGACAAGTACGACTATTACAATTTTTGACTTCGTGTCACCTAAGAAGACAATTTACACATATACGATGCTTTTTGACCAATTTAAATCTATCGAAAGGTGTACAATTTACAAACCGATAGCAATAATGTAGACTGTATTGCTCTGGACAAAGAATGCAACATAAATCAGGCGGCAAACGAAGATTGGTAGCTAGACATTTACGAGATACGGAACTCTTTCTATTATTTGAGTTTGACACAGTGTTAATATTTCTCATTTCATGCAAACACAGAAGAGTACGAATTCACTCTGTCAAGAATGCATATAACTCTTTCCAATATGAAAGAGACGATTTGGATTTAACACTTTGCTCCCATTAAGCGTGTGTCAATTTGGGCAATTTTTGCAAACATAGAAATATAACAATCGGATCCCAATTATCCATAGTTATATCATAAATTGCCAATGCAGAAAGACAACTATTAATTCCGCGTTGAATAGACTTAAGTCCCGAACTACTTTCCTGATCCAGCACAGAAAGACCAAACAACGTTTTCAAATGACGTGAATTATCGTATGTGGAATTCAATGCATTCCACGCAGGTTCAAATCTTCGATGAGTTAGAGGAAATTTCGAGACGATTTCTTGAGCCTCACCACAACTTTTACTCACCAGATGACATATACGTTTAATGTCGGTCAATCATTGGTTATTAATATAAACCGCACTAAACAAATCTCTAAAAGTGGGCCAATCTAGAATATTTCCACTGAAAATATCAATATTACAAGGAAGAACCATGAGTCTATGAATGTTATCAACATTAGGAGAATAAACAGCAAAACTTTGACCTATTCTAGCATTCCCAATATTCAAAATTGTGAAGCTAGATACCTGTGTTCCCACATCACGAGAAGAGTGGGACAACGAGCTCACGTTTTTAACGGTGGCATCAACTGCGAGAGTTCCCGGAAGAATATTATCGGAATGCTCCGTTACTGATAATTTATTTGAAATCCGAAATTTAGACAACATTATATTTATAATTGATGAACAATGCATATTTTCTTTTGAAGAAACCTCATACTTGCTATGTAGTGAATCGAGATCTTCCTCAACCGATTTCCACAATTTTTTTAATTTCCTCACTCCTAACCTCAAGATCATAAATATCTAATTCGTCTTCCTTCAATGCACCGAAGTGTGCAGCGAATCTCACCATTGAGTTGGAAGCACGAGTGAATAAGTTCAAGGGGTGGAAGCCATTTTATAAATTTAGTCAACAATATTAAATAGTTCTAGGTTCAAGAAAAGTCAGTGGGAAATAAAAGACAAAAGAAATGTCGAAATCAACTGAAATGTGAACGAAAAAATTAAAACTTTATAACTGTTATATAATTATTCAAAAAATATTTCAAAATGTTTTAAAAACAAAAAGCGAATTAGAAATTATGAATTTCAATAACAGTATCTAGCTATCAGCGAATCTTAAGTAAAAGGTGAAATTATACAAAAATCTGTAATAACGTTTATGAAAATCAACAAAAACGAATGAATCGTAGCTGACGATCAAACAATTGTAGCGTACAAAAAGTTGATATAAACAACCAAACTACCGATTGTAGCGTAATACTATCAGCAAAAAATTCATTACAATTAGCAAATAAATATTAAAAATCAAAAAAATGAAATAACAATATGTTACATATACACCCTGTCGAAAATATTCAAAACAATATGATCGAGATGTAAGGCGATAGAAAAAGAGTTCTTGGACTAATTTTACAACAACAAATTATGGAATGTAAACGATATTTTCTCTACGAATTTAGAGAAAAATTGTCGAAAAGGAAAACAAGAAAAAAACTATTATTTGTTGTTAGGTACTCCCGTAAATGAACTTTGATCGATTGTCAAAAAGGGAATCCGCGACGCGTTGTGATGACGGCCACACAAACAAACGAAACACTATTTTTTATAGTAATTGCTCACTTACACTATACGTACCAAGATAAATATATATAGGTGGACTGTATATAATTCTGATGCCAGCTGGAAAATCCGGCTCGAAGGACCAAAAGTTAAGTCCGCACTATAGGGACTCGGGTGATTGGCAGGTACAGTGCAATTGTGGATTCTCCCAATAGAGTCAGTAGGCTCAATACGTACTCGTGAGCAATAAATAAAAGAGAAATAAAAATAAAAGAGAAAAAAGGTGGCGCAAACTCAAAATGTAAACAAAAGACTGTTGAAATCTGTCAGTCTCATACTATTACAAGGATGCAATAAAAAGGAATGAACAGATTTAAACGGCTATGGCCTTTCAAATCAAAGGGTAACTATTTTAAATAGCGATTCTTGCTTAAACACTATCTTTTCTAAATTTTTGATATTTAGAACACAAAATTTCACTATTTAGCACGGATGATTTTAACTAAGTTTTAGAAAATACTATAACAACATAATTAAAACCAAGGCTATCAGAGAATAATCGAGTTAGTTTTGTGTTTAAACTTCTTACATTCTGATAGCAAACATTGAGAAACATATTTATTTTTTTGGCGACATTTCAGCCCTCTGATCCAAATGAACTAAATTTTCAGATCTTTCCAGAAACTCCTTAACAAATGCATTAGCAGGCCAAAATTTTCTCGAAATTAGTCGATGAAACGTAGAAAGAAATTTCCATCGATTTTTGATTTTATGTAATAATTTATATTCTCAGCCCAGGTATCTGGTGCAAATCTAGATACAAATACCATTTTTCACTACGAAAGACGCATTAGATGTTTGAACTGATGATTCCCGATTTCCGTGAGTAGGTTTTGAAGTCTTTTCCAGACTAGCACTACTCATACTCACAGATTTTGGATTAATCACTTCATTTACATCGATTTCGGACTCGTATGGCGGCCTACACCAACGCTCTGTCATTGTATACAGACTTCGGATGTGTCGAACTTACATTGTAAGTTGATTCAGTTGGAAGATTTACGTGCAAAAAATCCGCTGGGTAGTGCATCGTATTAAGTGAGACCCATATTTGTTCGTTGTTCTCAAATAATAACGCGGAGACAAACTAATGCTCAAAACAGGAACTTATTAGTTATTCCACACATGCTTAACACTTTCTGTTACACACACATTTATTCGCTGTGTGTTTTTATGATAGTTTTGTTTGTTGTTTTTAACAGAGCTCGCGAACATTTTTTGGGGTTTTTCGCCGACGCGTGCAGTGAAATTTTAGCGTTCTTGAATTTTTCGAACAATACGAACATTCGCGAGAGATTTCAAATGCATGTTCATAAATTGTAACGTCGCGATAAATTGAAAACAATTGAATTCTCCTCATGAGCATTCGTAAGAAAGAGCGTATTTTAATCGTTCGCCGCATCCTGTTGTAAAGGATGAACGGAATTAGGATTAGATGAGGATAGCCGCATTATTTGAGCCACTAAATTGCGAGATCGGCGTTCGTCGCCAGGACACGATTTCAAGAAAGTTGCAACCTGTATGGGTTGCTTCCATAGAGAATTAGTAGATTAGTAGGTGAAACGTGTCATATGGAATAGCCTAATCTCACCGGATGCAGTGGATGGTCTCCGAATATGAATGCTATTTACACCAGCCAAATCGATTTTGTAAACCTTGTTGGCGTTCCATGTGCTGCCGACCAGCAAATAATTTTAGCCACATTATATACCATCCCACTGAGATGAGAGTGTCAATCGCGATAATCCTACGGCGGCTGGTTCTATGTACCGGATTGACTAGAGGCTGCCACCTCAACAAATGTATTTCGTGTGCCGCGCCTAGAGAATGCATCGTTCTTACAGTTGTGTATGAGTCGAAGGAGAATAATCATCGGTGCGAACCAGGAAACTAAACTGATCTTGAACTGCAGCTTACACTGTTGCGATGGTTACAACGTTGTGCGGAAAGATCATACCAGAAGCGAAAGTGAAGAACTTGTATTCTTATTACACCATTCTGTCCAGTACAGATCTATCTCTTGAGTTAAACTGTAGTGACTCATACATTAAATGTAGCAGTCAAGTGTGGAACTGCCAAGGTAGAGGTGCTAAATGTTTTTATAAATCGCGTTACTTACCAGATATAAGTCCGCTTTTAGAATGTAATAACCGCCTGGTACTAGGGGATTCCAAAGCACACCATGAGTTGTGGCATTTCATCCTAGGTAATGGCCAGAGGGTTACAGAGAAAATTGATAGTTTAAAATTTTCCACGATGATAAGAGAACATCACAATTGTGGCACTCGGTTCAGACTACCTTCATAACCTCTGAAAGCCGAAATTTTCTGAACCATGGGAAAACTAATTGGCCTGGTTTCAGATCCTCAGGTAGCTGAGAGAAATTTCCGTAAAATCATCGCTATTGCTGCCGCTCGCTTCATACCTGCTGATCGAATACCCGATGTAAGGCCAAACTTCCCAGCAGAGGCAGCGTTATTGGCTCATCAGCGTGATGAGCTCCGTCGTCGATGACTAAAGACCCAAGTCAACAGACTAGTATGCGAGCACAAAAGGAATATGTGGCTAGACCACCTGAGGCAATGCAACATTGCCATAATGTAAATAGTGAGCAACGGTTAAGTCTCTCTCGAAACCTGGAAGAAAGCGTCTCATTTCTATTAACCACTTTCCATTTAAGTTTCGAAATTTCCTTGCTATGGAAATATTCATCTGTGTTGTTTTGTCTTCTATTTTTAGATGGCGTACCGTTTCATTACTATTCCAGTTTCATCCAACATCGTTTTGGCAGTTATTTGTGGAACAGAACCACCTTTAAAAAGCCTTGTGGAATTGGCAGATAATGTCTTCAGAAGTGAATTAGCGATGCTACAAAAACTAGAAAGGTACATTCCATCTGGTTTATCCGAATGCATTGAGCTTGACTCCAGTATAATCGCTATTATAATAGCCAACTGCAGAACTAAGAAATGCGTATTTTCATCGAATATTCATCATAGAACATCGAATAAACGGTTTATGGGAGATTTTCAAAGTATTGAGTTGCTGAAAACATTGTTTGGTCAAACATTCACAAATATCGAGCTTTTGAAGAATAATTATTCACAAAACAATTTGCTTGATCAATATTATTGTTCTGATAGCCACAAATATTACACAGAAACTGACGAAGAAGATAATATAATAGGTATATTGTTTATTTCATCTGTTCCGACGCATACCATGAAGTAAGTATCATTTTTTCAGTACTACTACCAGCAAGATTTCCTATAGTCTTTTATATTTATCATAGCTTATGAAGCCACTGAAATGTATATGTATACGTAAAGAAATATCAACTGACTGTCAACATTATATAATTTTAATACTAATCCAAACAGATACGATATTTTACTTCGATTTAGAAGGCTGAGCAATAATTTGGACTTTTCCTTTGTTATGTACGTACTAATGATATCAAAAATGCATTTTTCTACTTTGTAATTTTAGCATTTTTCTATTTTCCCCGAATAACTAACTAAAGGGTAAAGCCTGCAAATATGAGAGATCTATTTACTTCCACACTTCTATAAAAAATAAAAATTAAGTTTGTAACGAGGTCTATATAACGACTAATAGAAAGCCAAAATTGAAATAAGCATACTACATTACCTAAACTTATTCCTCTATACAAGAAACCAACATAAGCAGCTTTGGGGAGAAGGTTATGAATTCGTTGTTGTTGTAGCAGTTTATATGAATTGTATATTTTTCCTGTCCTATGGGAGTGGGATGAGCTCCGAGGACGGCATTCACTCTGTATCCGTTCAGCGCTGCAGCTACTGCATCAGTATGATTGCCATTCAGACCTGCTCGTTGCTATGCTGACTAAGGGAAGGATCTTCATCTCCTCATGAAGATGGTCCACTGGTGTCATGAGGGTGCCTTCTCGCAGTCTTCAGAGCGGCGTTCTGACAGGTCTGAATACTTCTCCATTGCGTATCACTAGAGTTCGCGAACACACTGGAATCGCATCGCTTGCCACAGACCGACCTATCGCTTTGTAAGAGGTCAACAAGGTTTATTTATCTGTGCCCCAAGTGCTGTCGGCAAGCTACTTGAGGACCTAGTTCCTGCTTTTCAACTTATCGCAGATAGCTGTGGTTTGCGCGGACGATTAAAACATACTGTCGAATGTGATCCCGAGTATTTTGGGGTAGTTGATGGTCGGAATTTTATGCCGCTCGACCTGCACATTCAACGGCATTCTCATCTCCGCAGTCCATGTGTTGAATAGTGTGTTTGACGACTTCGAGGCGGATATTTTCATATTCCTCGCTTTGAAGAAAGCTGCTAATTCGACGAGATAGGCGTTCAACCTCACACATACATCCTCAACAATGTGACCCGACGCCATGATCGTACAATCATCTGCATATGTAACGATTTCTATGCCGTCCGGAGGGCGTGGAATACCGGAAAGGTAGAGGTTAAATAGTTCCGCAGAAATCACTTCACCCTGGGGAACTCCCTGTTTAACTCTACGAGGTTTGGACTTCTTGTTCCGAAACTTCACGTGCGACTGGCGTCCCCACATATAGTTGATTATCCAACATTTCAAACTGGATTGATTATCCTCAAATAGCATGACATGGTTGACAGTATCAAAGGCTTTTGATAGGTCAAGCGCTACCAACACTGTTCTATCGCACGGCCGGTTCTGGTTAAGTCCTCTACTTATATGTGTGGAAATGGCAACGCTGTTGTTGTACTGTGTTGCTTACGTATTCCATGTTGATGATCTGGATAGCTTTCTCTAATGCTGGGGAGGAGTAAAGTTTCTAGGGTCTTCGCTACTGGCGACAAAAGTGAAATCGGCCTGTAAGATTCACCTTTGCTGGCATCCTTGCCCGGCTTCAGTAGCGGGACCACCCTGCCCATTGTCCAGGCTTCGGGGACGACGTGGGTGGCTATCGACAAATTGGGGACGTTGGTCAAGTACTCGACTCCTGGCTCGTCCAGCTGTTTTAGTATACACATAGATATTCCGTCAGGGCCCAACGCTTTAGATGACTTCGCGTTACGGATGACACATGCAACATCACCCATCGTAAACTGTGGTGATACCTCTTCTGCTGGAAGATATGTTATACGACGAAGTACTCTTCTCTTCGCGCTGTCGCTCTCGGGATGCTCGACAAACCGTCGGTTAAAATAACTTGCGCATCTCTTCGGATCAGTCACAGTTTCGTCGTCATCCTTCTTACCAGGGTTCGAGAGCGACGTAACCGTTGCCCACAGTTTACTTACTCCGGACCAATGTGGCAACTCTTCAGGTGCTTCAACCATTATTCTTCTTGTGCTCCGCGACTAATCTGCTGACCTCCAACGTAAGTTCCCTGACCTTGGGATCTGCTGGGTTAGATCGACTGGTGCGATCCTTCCTCAGAACGTTGTAACCATAACAACGCTGTAGGCTACAATTTTCATTAAGCTTGGTTTCCCGCACCGCCGCGACCAAAATATTCTTCCGATTCATGAAGTCTACTATATCATCTATTTTTTCTCGAAGACCGTTGCAATTAAATTGCAGAAACGATGCACTGTCAGGGGTGGGAACAACAACGTGCGGTATTTACTGCTGCATACTTGGTTGCTGTTGAGGAGACTGCGGTGGAGTTCCGTACTCCGACGAAGAAGACGACGACGTAGACTCGCTGGAGATTGCGGTGTCGCAGCACGAGGCAACATAATCCCTTTCGCTGTAATCTCACAACCGGGCCAATCCGGATCAATTCCGGAAGTGCACCCACTCCCTGCACCCATTACATCTCACCGACACTGACGTGTGGTGAATGATGTTCTGGCAAACCGAACAGAACCACGGTCCGGGGTTTTGTTCGATCCCGGCACGGACCAAAAGAATTCGGAGGAAGCATTCCGGGATATGTTTCTCCCAAAACAGAAAAACAATACAAACATATATAACTGGGTTGGCAGCCGCTGGCCGAGATGAATGAATATTCTGTTCCAGAACCTACAAGAATGTACAATTGTTTATTACGATAACAAATTGTCCTTTATAATATCAATTAATGTATACAGTCGAGTACGCTTATAACGAACTTTTCCTGGTCCCGAAGTTTTAAGGCATATTTATCAAACAAATCTTTATTCATATAGCGAACTACGGATATAACCAAATATTTATTCGGTCCCGATATACAGTTTTCAATATTTTAATTTGGTTAAAACGAACTTGCTACAAATATACGTAATATTGTAGATGACAATCCTCACAAAAGCTAATTTTTACTCTAACGCTAGCTACCTTTACAAAAAATGGCATTTGTAATGTCAGGATCATTAAAAAACGAGAAGCTTGTCACAAAACCTACAAAATTCTAATTGGATACATAAGTTCCGTCCCAGAACCTTAAAGAATTTATTAATTTTACAAGTTTTGAAACTTTTTACTCGAAAACCGTTCCTGAACCCAAAAAACTGGTAAAACATTAAATCAAATTTAAGAGAGCAAAATACAAAATGGAGTTCTCTTTGTAAACTTTTTACTCGAGAAATTTTGGACGAGTAAAAATGGTAAACAGTAATGCCTACTTCTGATTTTGGCACATTAAATAGATTTGCGTTCCTGAACTTTTCAAATTATTTTGTACTGTGAGAGCTATTTTGAAATGTTTCCCCTTTACTAGCTTTAGTATTAAAAAAGTACTGAAACAGACCAGTACTTCTAAGACTAAAGTTCCATTCCAGAACCCAAAAGAATCTACTGATTTTACAAGTTTTGAAACATTTTACTCAACCGTTCCTGAACACCCAAAACTGGTAAAACGATGAACTAAATTTAAGAGAACACAAAACAAAGTGGCGTTCTCTTTTTAAACTTTTTATTCGAAAAATTTGTCAGAGTAAAAATGGCAAACAGGAATGCCAACTTCTGATTGGCTGTTATGTTGATTTTGAAGTATTGCCATCTAATTTTGGCATATTTACAAGATATACGTTCCCAAACGTTTCAAATTATTTTGTACTCTGAGAGCGATTTTGAAATTTTTCCCTTTTAGTAGCTTTACTATTAAAAAAAGTACTGGAACATACCATATGTTTTGCTTTTTCCGATATTCGTCGGTAGCATTGTAAAGAGTTACAGAATTCGGAAGTTCATGCATGGAGGCGTTATGCTTTTTCCGATATTCGTCGGTAGCATTGTAAAGAGTTACAGAATTCGGAAGTTCATGCATGGAGGCGTTATAACATCCAATTTGATACGTCCTCTTAATGGTACCCACACACTATATTGCCGTACTGCTACTGCCCTGTGTACGTGTGTGCTTGAATCGTGTGTAGTAGACCCATCAATCTCACTTCAATCAAAATTAAAAAAATTCATTTTAGTATCCCAAAAATTACTATTTTAATTAAAATTGTGTTTATTTTATTTGAAAACATACATACGCTTTTTATATGAAATATTTTTTTTCTGAGAACTTTGAAAATTATCAAAATTCATCGGTTTGAAAGGGGTTCATTTTCAAAATCAAAACTATTTTGATTTTCGTACTACATGAAATTCTTACACATACATTCTCAAAATGACACAAAATTACCAATACTTCTTCAAATGCTTTCATGCATGCCCTATGATGTGTGGGGCCCTTAACTATATCGACATCGATTGGCGCACTATCCCAGTTAGAGTCTAAACACAACCAGAGAGTCAGGAGTCAGCGGCATACTTTTTCGTCGGCGTGAAAACCAAACGAAAGAGTTAGCGGCACAAAATGTCAATGTTATTTGTTTTCATTTTCTGACAGAATATTATACGTTGTGCAAACCAAATTCAATTTATTCAGAAGATTCCAAGTTATACAAAATGTCGTATTTTTTTATTTCCTCGGTCAAATTTTCTTCTATTTCATTATTAATTCCTTAAAAAAGTCCATAATCTTTGAAAATATTTGTTTTTTAAAAGCACTGCCATATGTTTTGATATAAATTTCCATTGAAAAGTTAGACTGATATTTTTTCGACAAAATTTTTTGTTATTCTACTCAAACAACTGATTTGATATATCAAATGTCATTAAAAATGGACATTTCCTCACATAATGCAAAAATATACTGATTTTCTTCTTCGAAGTCAAAGGTGTCCTTCAAGTGAATTTCAAACTTTTCAGTTTTTATTTCGAATTTTTGTTTATATTTATAAATGATTGTCGATCTCTAGTTATTCTAGTAATTTCTGGACCATTCGCTTCTTTATTTTTAATACAAAGGCTGAATTTTTGGTTTGCAGTACGAATTGTTGGCAATTTAAATAGATTTTATAGAATTTTTTTAAACATTTTCTTCTGAAAATGATTCATCAGACTTAATTTGTTAACACGACGTAGTTTTTTGTGTATATATTTTTTTATACCAACGACATTTAATTTAAAAAATCCAAGATGTGCTAATTACGTGTCCCCCTCAAATTTGACTTGATTCATAAATACCGTCATATATCACAAATTTCCAGTGATAATTTTCTGTTCTCACACTCATTCGGTCAAGTACAATACACATAAGCGTTGTTAATAAAAAATATTTAAAAATATTCCAAACGATTGGAGGGTTAATCAAAACACTTTTCCCTTTCCTCAACATTTTCTGCACATACCAGGCTATCTACAAAACTACAATTATTGCAAATCTGGCATTGCAGTTTTAGTCAGGAACAACATTAATGTTTGCCAACATTCATTATTTTTTTCAATCCTTTCGGGGTACCTCTTCATATTTTTAATATTTATAAAGAAAGATATTCTTTGACTCATAAAAAATCCCGTTTTTGATCACAATCTTCTACTCCGTAATTTAAACGTTCAAAACATTATGGCAACGCTTCACAAAACATCTAAAAGAGCTAATGCATTCCAAAGTAGAATATCTGATCCAAAGTGTCATTTGTGCACCAATGGAGGGCACCTTTTTCGAAAATGTCAGGAATTTCAAAATTATCCGTTACCAACAGTAACATTCGGGGTTAATTCAGTTCCTTATTTGGCAATTCGGGTTCTGCATCAGTTATTCGTTCAAGATTTCCTAGAGCTAGTGATATTCTTTGAGGAGCGACGCCACTTTAGCTCTTTCGAAAACAACCTTTTTGTTTCATGAACAGTTTGTCCCTTGCACTTATACTCCGACAATGGTACAACATTCAGGTAACTCTTGACGGGCTCGCTGCTCACTATACCATTCAAGGACTGACGTGGCACTTTGCCCCTACCACCGCTTCTCACATTGGTGGACTGTAGAAAGAAGGCGCAAAGAGATTCATAAAACATTTCCGGAAGTTTAGATTCGATGAATATTCCACGTTATTAGCCCGTATAGAGGCCTGTCTTGATTCCCCGCCGTTATCCGCAATATCTCAAGATTCCACTGATTTTTTTTGCTCTGACGCCTGGGCATTTCCTTATTGGCACTCCTATTCTGGTTTCACCAATCGATGTTTCTTCCATGTCCATTCTGAATCGCTAGGAAAAACTTTTGAATATTTACCAAACGCAATAAATGTCAATATTTGGATACCAATGTCACAGTCGATTCTCTAGTTACGGTCAGCGATGACAATCTTTCATCGAACGCATGGCTTCTGCGATGCATTTCGAAAGTCAATAATGGACTTTTTCTTGTCATCGGTGCAGAACCCTTCAGCCGTTGCATCTCTGGTATACTGACGATGAGTATACTCAACCGTCATAGAGTCGTGAAGAAGTACAAGTACTGCAAGCATTGTCTGGTCCATAAATATTCCCACGGCGGCTGCTTCTCTTCCTAGTGCTGCAAGAAGTTTCACAGACGGCACCATAGTCTGCTTCATAAGTGAGAGGAACGCACGTTGGATCCAGTCCGCCCACTCCCAAGTTTTCACTAATTCTCAGGTTCATACCAATAAAAAAGAAATTCTCTCTCTTGCGACAAAATCTTGGTTTTCTGATGCCACCGACAATAGTCACAATATCTAACGGGGAGGCGATATCCACGACGAGGTGTCATGTCAATTTAAATTCCTCGGTGAGCAGAATATCAGAGCGGTTGACCGATTTCCTCAACCTTAGAACGCACCAGATGGTAAACGAACTAACTTTACGTTCCCGGTTTGACTCCGAACGTCAGATCAAAGTGATGCACTGAGTGGATAATCGCATCTATATGCGGACTTCTTCCAAAGTATTCCGCCAGACATTAAAAGGAGCTACATGAATTTGTATTTGGCGGATCCAAATGTTTTTGAACGTTCTTCGCTTGAGGTCATAGAGCCGATATCTATAAAAAAAAAACCATTATATCTTCTACGAATTAAAAATACTTTATTGAAATGAACGAATCACAAACTTTCTTCTCAGATACATGTGTATCAGGGACGTAAGCAGAGGGGGGGGGGGGAGGGTCTTAGTTATATGTTAAAAAAAGTTCAGTTCACCCGCCAACACGGGTTATTTGGGATACAATTTTTATTTTGTTTTTGCAAAATAGTCAATCTATTTATTAGTGGGGAAAGTATGATGAGGATCAATGACGAAATGTCTTCTATTGTCTTCCATGCCACTTGGTGGACAATGCCATACTTTCCCCACTAATAATAATATATATTTTTGAACAACAGGCTGACTTTTTTTACAAAAACAGTTTTAAAAAAATAAATAAACACAACAACCCGTTGCATACAGATGCAATATTAATATTCATTTCACTGATCTAATATATGATAAATATTCCCGAAAATTGTTTAATATGCTATGTAATATACGTATAACTGCTAGTTTAGTATTTATTAAAAAAATCAACATTTAAACAGTCTTAAACAGGGTTACTCACCCTTACATATATTCGTTTTTATTTAATTATAATTTAATGTATCTTTAAATTTTTAGGCATATTGGCAAGAGCTTGTTTTGTATTTTTGAACAACAGGCTGACTTTTTTACAAAAACAGTTTTAAAAAAATAAATAAACACATCAACCCGTTGCATACAGATGCAATATTAATATTCATTTCACTGATCTAATATGCTATGTAATATACGTATAACTGCTAGTTTAATATTTCCTTAAAAAAATCAACATTTAAACAATCTTAAACAGAGTTACTCACCATTACATATATATTCGCTTTTATTTAATTATAATTTAATGTATCTTTAAATTTTTAGGCATATTGGCAAGAACTTGTTTTCCAAAATACTATCAGAAAAATGCTTTTGCTGGTAATGCACACTGAATGACATGTTACTACCGTGAATACAAACCATTCTTGAATTAAAGTGTATACGTCACCAATTCCAATAAAATAAAATTACTTACCATTAACACTTTGAGTTTTAATATTATTTACCCATGTGGACGGGAGCAGTTGGCTATGATGTAGCCAACGTGCATGCATCAAAAAGGTTTGTATTTTCATTTATAGTATTTTAAATTTAATTTTACAAAGAAAATCTAATGGTATTGATTCTTAATTTATTGTTATTATTTATTTTCAAAGACTAATTATCAGTTAATAAAACCCGATATATTAATATATATATATATATATATATATATATATAGAAAGAACAACATACAAAACATGTTAATATCTTATACAACGCTTACAGTTATGTAAATATTAAAATGTATAATACGTATTAAAGATATAAATACTGCTCTAATAACTGTTTTTTATAACTTTAGTACTTAACGAAAAAGACTTTAATAAAGATGACAGACAATTATAAAGACGCGCAATGCTGACATGAAATGCTTGACTTTAGGCGTTACGCGTGGAATTATAATCTGTGGGGTTTTAACAGATCTTTCAAAACGGATTAATTTGCAAGCAAATTCAGGTTTCGTACAATTTTGTGTTCTTTAAAAATGTAACAACGATCTAATATTAATATAAGTAAAAAAATAACATCCTAAGAACTGAATAGTCGGACAAGTGTTGTCGAGCTTTAACAGCTCTACCTAAAATTCAACTAGGTCGTTCGACGTTATTCACCACAAAAGTGGAACACCTGTATTTATATGAATGTTACCGAATGTTATGAATTTATCATTTTCCTTTTGGGTAAGGATAAGTAAGTCCAAAGCAGTCTGAGACATTTGCTGTATTTTCTTTTTACAACTCTTGCTCGAAATAAATGGATCTGAACTTAAAAGAAATCTATTGTATTTTCCCCGACTGAATTTACTGGAAAAGTGTTCTCAATAGTGTTCCCAAAGTGTTTTGAAGTCCTTATTTCTGTCTTCCTGAGATTCTTCATTTAGCTGGGTTATTTTACAAATTCTTTAATTAGTCAAAAATGCAACAAATCGGCAAATATATAAGCTGAAACTTCATATTTTAAGAAAATATAAGCAGTTTTACTAAGTTTCACTGATAATTCAGTTGAAATCCAATACAAACATCACAAATACCTCAATTTTGGAGCAATTTCCTTATTATTTTTTTTTTATATTTCCAAAACATTTATCTAAACAAACAAATATTTTTCATATGCTCAAACACCTGAAGTAGACGGCTCCATAATAAATTTTCACTTTTAGAAGTCGTTATTAAAAAAAGTATTACTGGAAATATGCAAATTTTCACTTTTAACCAATGCGCGCAAAAATAATAATAATTACTGAACTTTGAAGACACACTACAAATAAAGTAAACAACTAAGAACTTTTATTTTGGCAATTAGTGATGTAGAATTTTATCTTCTTTCATTCGGTACCAAAAACGGTTTTTAATGTTAAATTTCATTTTTTGAATTAATCGCCACTTTGCCTACCGCTCAACCCTGCGTGCGACGCCCTAGCAATATTTTCCAATTTTGCACAGAATCAATTGTCGAAACAAAATTTCGCAAAAATTTCTCGTTTGTGGATTTATTTATGCTAAATACCACCGTAGCTTATTACTTTCTGCTGAATGTCAACCATTTCCTTCCAAAAAAATTATTTTCATAGCTTATCGGTTAATCGTATAGGGTTCTTTCATTCACGCGTCTACACACGTAGGTTGGCATTCCATTTTCACTAACACTATTAAATCTCCAAAAGAAACCCTGCAGTTTCACAAGTAGTGACTGGCAACTTTTCATCGACTATATTGACGATGAACTTTCATCGACTACATCGCCGGTTATATAAATTTTCAGTGGTAAATTGTAAAGTACATTAAAAATTTAATAGTAAAATTTTCAACTACACGATTACGTGAACTAACCCTGCAAGCAAAAACTATCGCGGAAGTTACGTCGAAGTAACGTCAAGGCGATAGAAACAGTTGCGGAAGATAGTCGCATTCTTATCGAGGAAGTCACCTCCTTCGGGAAGAAATGAACCACGTCCGCGTCACTTCTAAGAAGTAATTATATTATTATATATTATAAAAGGTAACAGCAAATCCCAGCTGATTTGATTCCATGTAATACTAGTGTCAATATGAATTTGACAAATTATGTTTTTAAAAATCACCCAACGGGAAAATTGGGAACGCATACAATTTGAAATTGTTCTTCTTTAAATATGCTCCCGTATACAATTTACTCAATCTGCCTGCTGGGAAAGTTTGAGGAACCTAATCTTTCTTCATTGAATAACTCGCAATTTCCTGCATTTTCATATGTGTTACACATATAAGTGGCAATAGCTCAATTATAGGAAGGATGTGGAAGCGACAGAAATATAAATTTGATAGATTTTCATTCATGTTTTTCAAATTTTATTTTGAGGATTCGAAAATATTTCATTTTCAAAATAAATATAATTTATTTGTTTGTTTACATTTTTCTGTCAAATGATGTTGCCACTAGTATAACTTACAAACACAAATTTCCATGTGGTTGTTGTATCGTTTGTTGTACAACAACACTTGCTGTTACCTTCTATTATTATACCATGTTCTCTTTTATATATTTTTTGTCTTTGGTTAGAAATAACACCACTTTTAACCTAAAAATGGTTAAAATTTGAATTTAAAAAAATAATGATATATTTTTTTACTTAGATTTGTCAAAGACGAAATCTCACTCGGAATGTTGCCGATGAATTTATCGACGAATGGTAGTTAAAAGGGTGAGCTATCACTAAAGCGGCCATCGCCATATAAAATTCGCCGATCAAAATCATTGTGGGTAGTTTGTCAGGTAGTCGATAGCGACGAATGGTACTTTTCTCCTCAAGACTCTCGAAAGACTAATCGACCTGGAGGTAAGGAGTCGTGTAGACACCACCTCTCTTAGCAATTCGCCGCACCCATATATAAAAGGCAAGTCTGTGGAATCTGCACTGCATGAGATAGTAAGGAATATGGAAAACTCGAACTTTACGTTGGCTGCCTTCTTTGATAAAGATGGAGCCTTCAACAAGGTCAAACTTGAGTCCGTAAACCACTCACTCAAAAAATTTAGCATTACTGAAACCCTTATTTGTTGGATAGATGAAATGCTAAACAGCAGAATTATAAATGTGGGGATACAAAAATCAGGAAAACAGTAACTAGAGGCACCCCGCAGGGCTGGGTGCTTTCGCCGTCGCTATGGCTACTGGTAATCAATAATATACTGATGAAACTGGACAGGAAAGGTATAAAAGTCGTAGGCTATGGAACTTATGCAAAGAGTCGTATCGACGCTGTCACGCTGGGCCAAGGCTAATGGCCTTGGAGTAAATCCAACAAAGCTCCATCTGGCCTCCGAAGCAAAATACCTTGACACAATCCTGTACTGTCAATTACGATGGAACAGAAACGCTGAGGAACGGGCGAGAGATGGCACATTGCACTCTATGCATGCAAGAATTCCATTGTATAACACCGTGGTGAGGCCCATCCTTTCCTATGGTTATCTTGTCTGGTGGCACTGCCTGCACCAAAAGTCAGCATCCAGCAAACTGGACAAGGTTCAAAGAGCCGCCTCGATTCTAATAACTCGTCCCCGAGTGTAGACCATTTTTAGAAACACTTCCTTACAGCTATCGGCTGTGATGGGTACAAGGACACTGTGATATCACGGGTAATGAAAAAACAGATGAAGTAGCTAGACGCGGATCTCAATCTACAGATCTCACAATCGATGGCTCAATCCATGATGAAATAAAAAGGTGATGTATCAAAACAACCTTTGTTTTTGTCTAGACCATCTGTCAAATTTTTCCTTATAATATTTCACATGGTTGGCAACATTGCACATCGAATTCAAGTAGAAATTACGCACTTTGACAGTTAATCGAGACATCAGCTACGCTAAATGAACTACCTATTTATTGTGCCATGGCTCAATGAAATCACCCATCTGTCACCTTTTTAGGAACGTTGATGTGTTCTTCGAACGAGCCAATGAACTCTGGCACAACGAACCTTTCCATACATATTCGCGTACAAGAATACAAAAGGGCTAGAGAATGGTTATTTAGGAAGGAGAGTAGGACTTCTAGGTCAGCAAACTAATGAGGTCTTTTTGGAAAAATATACATAATATGCATAAAGAATTCGTGTTTTCTATATTCAACAGACCTTCAGACGTCCGACCTTATTCTGAAGTTACATTGCTGGACAGAAGAAGCTCGGACTATTGGATACTGCAGCATCCCTTAATTGTCTTGGATGTAAAGCTGCAGAATAATATTTGCTTCCTGGTAAACCACGTCATTCATCGTAAGCCAGGAAAAATCACATTTGCTTAGACAGTCGTAAGCTGAATTCCGCAACCGTGGGTAACGCATGTCCCTTGCCACCTACCTGGAGGATTTCTTGGTTGTTTCTATGTCATTCGAGAGGCATATCAATGAAATTCTAAGCAGGTTACCAAAGTCTACATTTATTATCGCCTTAGACTTCAAAGATGTCTTTTGGCAGATACCTCTTGACCAGAAATCGAAGAAGGCAGCATTCACCGTCCCTGGGAGAACACTGTATCACTACACTGTGATGTCATTCGGGCTTTGCAATGCGCGGGAAAAACTTAGAAGTCCCGGATAAACCAAGACTAATAGTACGATTACATTGTACCGGATTTCATTAAACCGGTGGGTTTAAATTGTCAATTCCATTGTATATATGTCAAATAAATCCTCATAGAGTAGGTTAACCCGGTAAAAAGTTGTAATCAGTGTTGCCGTTTGAAAATTTTATTTCCGCCCAAAATTCCCCCTAAAAAGTGCCCAAAATCAACAATTTATGCCCAAAATTTAAGAGAAAACTTTTATATTTTTTAAATGCTGAAAAGTACACTGTT